GCGCAGCAGATAATACGCTACGTGTTATGTAGGCAGGTTATAGGTAACGCAGGGAGGGGAATAACCACAAGCTCATCAGACGTTTCCTAAAGTAAACAATGTTCACGAGTCCCACAGCTTGAGTCCAAGTCTGCATGTGTAGATTCGACTTTCGTTTTAATGTAAAACGGAGGCCCTCTGGGTCGTACACACACCGAGACGGCCTACGTTGATCCACACTAGGAACAGGGGTGATTCTTCAGATGTGTCTGAATTTGGACAGGCACTTTTTTGTTCCTTTGTTTTATTTAGTCAGGCAGACCTTGAAACTCTGAATTACGAGTCCTATGTTGGTTTTTGATTGAAGCAGCTCCTTCCTTTTTGTGTGATACCTAAGACAGATCCATGCAATAAATAACTTAATTTGACCAAATCCATCTGGTTTTATGTTACTTGCCTTTCCCCTAGAGAGCTCAGTCTTGACAGCATGTAAGTGGATACCTCAGACTCAGATTATACTGCACCATTTTCAAATACATCTTTTTTCACCCTGTTTTGGCTACCACATCTGCGTAGGTCTGCAAGCAAGACAAGCACATATTTCATTCATCTCTCCAGGCTGTGGAGAGTTAGTAGGTAATGGATACTCAAAGTTAGCATTATTAAAAGAGGTTCTACTTGTAGCTGAACTGGCTGATACCACACAAACGTGCTACGGTGCCACCTTTAACAGAGGATATCAGGGCCGTCATAAAGAACAGATGTTACCTCTCCACAATTATTAAAATTTTGAATCCAGGACTTTTACTTGGTATTCCTACTTTTACTTAAAGTAAATTATTTGAGCACTTTTCCCACCACTATGGTATGTTTGGGACAGAACGAAGCATGTATGAACAGGCAACACCTACTCTTTGTCATGTCCCTCGGCGTCAGTAACAACACATATGGCACCCTTTAGCTTGAAGGCTAAAATTAGGCCTATTACAAATAAAAGAAAAGGTGGTGGTTTATTTGGACATGTGGGTCAGAAACCAGAACCAGGAGAACAGTGTTCATTTCCTATGTGATTGTTTTAGTTAAGTTAGATCACATAAGTAATGTAGTACGAGGTACAGGGTAATTTATTTGTCATTATGCAGCACAAGGTTGTATAACAAAACGAAGTTTGTACTCCCTTCAAGCTAAACTAAGTGTAACATATAAAATAAAACAATATCTAAAGTTATTACACCCAGAACATTCTGCAGTGCATTTTTTAGAATTTGCGTCTGGGGAGAATATAAACAGCAGCAACAAGATGATAATCTGGTTTCATCTTTACATTAAAGAGTCCATCTTGACTGTGTTTGAGCACAAAGCATCATCAATGTAAGAGAACTCTGTTGTGAAGTTTGCGGATGACACCACCATTATCGGACGGATTTCAAACAACGATGAGACTTCATATCTGGAGGAAATTCATAATCTTGCAGAGTGGTGCACAGAGAATAACCTACTGCTCAACGTCAGTAAAACCAAGGAGATAAAGACAAACACTCCTGTCAGCGGTGCTGAGGTGGAGCAGGTGAACAGTTTCAGGTTCCAGGGAATCAGCATCACAGAGAACCTGACATGGTCGTCTCACATCTCCACGCTGGTGAAGAAAGCTCAGAAACAACTGTATTTCTTTTAGGAAGGCCAAATCCACACGCAAAGTTCTTGTCAGCTTTTACAGAGGAGCATCAGAAAGCATCCTGTCTGGAAACATCAACATGGGATGTGCACGGCTCAGGACCGGAGGGCTCTGCAGCGGGTGATTAAAACTGCTCAGAAGATCATTGGTACCCATCTCCCGAGCATCAGTGATATCGGTGAGGTGCCTACGCAGAGCCCAAAGGATACTAAATAATAGTACCCGCCCAGCCACAGCCTGTTCACCCTGCTGCCTTCTGGGAAGAGACATAGAAGTTTCTGCTGCCGCACCACCAGACTGCAGAGCAGCTTTTCCCCCCAAAGCTATCAGACTCTTAAACTTTAATTCATCCTCAGCACTGCTCCAATGATGATAGTTTATTTATGTTTACAACTTTTCATAATTGATTCTCAATAATATAAATTGTCTCAATTTCACTCTATAACTTGTTCTATTGTGACAATAAAGCTACCTGTGTAAAACTGAGTCCACTTCCTCTCATCTTACCTTCAGGCGCAGTCCAAGCTGGGCCAACATGGCTCCTCTCCCGGCTCTCTCCTCTGAGTGATCACCTCACCCGTTGTGGTGCCTGGTCCGGTAGTTTGCGGCGGGTGGATCATGGTTGGCTGCTCTTTAATCCAAAAACCCAGTCTTCCTTTTCCAATGACTGATTTCTGTCATAGGGAATAAGTGTTTTGGCAATAAAGCTGACACAGATTTGAAGGAGCTACCGGCTGCTGCTTTTACAAGCGCTGCCGGTTGCCATAGCCCTAACCATGATCCGTTCCTAAACTTAAACAAACTTTAACCACTAGTTTTATTTTGAAAGTCTAACCGGATGTTTATTTTAGCTAACTGCCATTAAAAAGCGAAGCCAAGGGGTCTTGACCAAGCGTCCATATGTGACGGTCTGGCATGAGATCAGGTTGGAACAGGAGGAAAGATTAGACCGAGCCAAAACCTGTTTCAAGGTTGATATCTGCACCTGACTGTTGTTTTTAGAGAGACTGGAACATTTGCGAACGTATCCTTTAAAGTGTAAAGAGAAAGAGGCTGATGGACAAGCTGACTGACACTCATGAACCGGATTTGAACCTCCAGAGCGATGACTGACACCACGTCACTTTGGCCTACCGGCAGACGACACGACGAGCAGAGAGAAACAGAGAGAAGTGCGTCTGAATGTGTCTCAGAGAGCAGAGATGCACACAGTCTGTCTTTGTGTGTGTGTGGAAGATGAAAAGGATGCGCACTGGCCTCAGGCTCCAATTAAAAACAGGCTGTGGTTGCTATGGTGATATACTGTAGGTGAACTGAAGCACTTTATGAAATATTACTGACTGACGAACTGTGTTTACACCTCCAGCAGAGAGCACACTGTGTGGATGTTTAAACTTTACTGTTCTGCTTCCAACCTTTTTATTATTTGTGTTCTCCCTCTGTAAAGAGGCTCTCAATACCTGGGTCCTTTTAAAAAATATTAATGAGTATTATCCATATCCGATCAGTCAAGGGTTATTATTATTATTATAATAGGAAATATCTCTACAACTATTCATCAGGAATGATCGTCTGACTTTTTAACGTTCCATCAGGTCATTTTAACTTGTCCAGTACTTTGATTTATGACCACAGACTGTATATAAGAAGTGTCATCGTGACGTCACCCGTTGGTTTGTGGACTGACGTTTTCAAGCCTCGTGTTTTGCAGATAGGGCGCCGCCATTTTTAGTTTTTGCAACTAGCGGCACCAGACGTTACCATATTGGCACAAGATGGCGGAGCTAACGGCCGTGTGCGGAGCTAGATAGCTTGCTTAGCTAGGTGCATCTGTAATTCACCTTAACGGAATGACAATTTTGTCCAGCGAACAACAGTCTGAAAACTAAATGTACTCACCAGAGAACGCGAACAGCCAAGCTTTTTCAACGGCGCTGGTCAAATTTACACAGAGCCGTGGGTACAAGTATGATTGACAGGTCGCCATGGTAACAACTTGTCTATCATAGATGATCCCGCCCCGACACATACTCTGATTTGTGGTCTATTTTAAAATAAATGGGACCATAATTTACTAAATGATCATCATGCTGTGTTAAAGAAGACATGAAACTAGTGACTGAGACCATGAACTCATCAGGAAGTGTTGACTGAGGTAATTATTCAGCTGAGAAGTAGAAGCATTTTGCCATTATTTCTAATGGAGCCGGACTTCTTTTTACAACCAGAAGAGTCGCCCCCTGCTGGCAGTTAGACAGAATGCAGGTTTAAGGGACTTCAGCGTTCACATTAGATCGCTGACCGGAAGCTTCCTGCGTGTTTATGACCAAATACCCGCAGACGAATGACATCAGCCTCAGCTATACCTTGGGTAAAGCGCTAATTAGCAAATGTTAGCATGCTATCACACTATACCAAGATGGGGTTTTTCCGGGAACAGTCCCCGGTTTTGGTGGCCTATCGCCGGAAATGTCCCCGCTTTTTTAATTGTGTGTTAATTTTAGACCATATAAGGCGTTAACAGACCTGAAATCAGATTGTACGTGGCCACAAAGACCGGACAGCAGAGCAGACAGGCGGGAGCACACACAGTATGTTAAAGCTGTATCGCCCAGTCTCTTTACGTCTACAGCTGCTTTTATCTGGATCAAACGGACATAACGTGCAAATAAACATCAGTTAATGTCCGTGGTAATAGCAAAGGTATGTCTTTGTGATATTTTAACATTTCTTTTAACGGAATAATCATACTTGTGGCCAAATAAGTGTTTAGTTCAGTTTATAGCGTAACCAGGCGTGATTACCATTAATAGCTGATGTTGCCGATGGAATATGTGTTTGGTAGGCTTATGTCCAATATCCGTGTTTATATTTGGAAAACACACTGTAACTGATAATTAACACGACTTACTGCTGAGTCATATTTAAAATAAAGACATGATCTCTTTTGCAATTATCCTTATTACTCTACATTATTTAACCTGCTGTGTACCAACCAATCCAGTCCTTTTTACATCTTAAAATACCTTTAAATGGCCAAAACACAACATAAAATGAAGTTTTCAACTTGCCAGAAAGTGAGTGCAGCCTCTACTTAAATGTAAACGCTCTGTATAGCGCCTTTCTAGTCTTTTCGACCACTCAAAGCGCTTTTACACTACATCTGCATTCACCAGTCACACTCATTCATACACTGGCGGAATAGCCGGTTTTGCAATTCGGGGTTCAGTATCTTGCCCAAGGACACTTCGACACGCAACCAGGGGGAGCCGGGGATTGAACCGCCGACCTTCCGATTAACGGCCAACCCGCTCTACCTCCTGAGCCACAGCCGCCCTTTTTGTAAAATTTAAATACAAAAGATTTATTGCCAAAACAACATTTCCAAATATGATTCATTTTATGTTATGTACACAAAGGGTTGATAAAATTATTTTGTACTCCTTAACCTTAAACTGAGGCCACAATGCAAACCACAATGTCCTCAATCTCAAGGCCCACATTCTCAAAGTCCTTGAGGCCCGTCTTCTCTCCGTCACACTCACAGAGGCCTTTGTCCTCAACATGCTTTTGTAGGATTTGCGTTGTCAGGGTTTAGTGTCTCTGTCTGCCTGGCCGGGAGGAGGATCCATCAGGTCCTTGAATCCCAGTTTCTCCAGAGGCTCCTTGGCCATCAGCTGATGGTCCATGCGGCACTCCAGGTAGCCTTTGGACTGCAGTCGGCACTTGGAGTTGTCGAAGCTGTTGTCTCTCAGGCATTTCATAAACGTCTCCTTGAAGGCTTTACACTCTCCGAAGTGGTCCAGAGGGAAGGAGCCTTTTTCAGGAGGCCGGGGCGTAAAACTCTTCGACCCGAAGTTCATAGCAGTGGACATGTTTGTCTGGGGTTAAACAGCCTGTTTCTAAAAGCTGTGGGACTTTTTCCATAAAATGCGAAAGCTACAACAACAGCCGCCGTACGCGACCCTGTCGGCGTTATTGACTGAAAGCTAGTTTCTGCCTCACTTTATTTCATTCAGAAGAGTTACGCTTGACAGATTATTATGTCCCCCTTTTTTATTTCGTATATAACATATTTTTTAATGACCTACTGACCAACAAACTCATATGTCCCCGGTTTTCATTACAGAAATCTGGTCACCTTAAAGTAAGATGGTGAACAAATAGCTGCTAAACATTAGCATGTTAGCATGCTGAGGTTAGCTCAAAGCTCTGCTCTATAAGTTTCCTGTTAATATTCAGTCAAAAAACTGTGCATACATGAGATCTTTCTTAAGCAAAAATTTTCAGAAAGAACATGTGTCTGGAAAATAAAATGTGTTCAGGCTGCTGCTGCATGGAGCCGCCTCACAAACTCAAGTTATTTTTCCTTCTTACTTCTCTTGTACGTCTTCAAATTCTGTTCCTGCTTCTACATCTTCTGGTTTTTCCTGCTGAAGCTCTTTCCCCGGAGGCGACAGCAGTTTAACTGCAGGGGGAAATTCTCTTTTTAGTATTTAGTTTTATTCTGTTTATTTGCAGTCTCTCAGGTTTTTCTGTTGGTGATGAAAAGCTGGAGTTTCCTTCTTCATTTTCTTCCTTTTTATATATATTTAATGCTTCTGCTTTCACTTCTACATTCTGCTTGTTTTCTGTTTTTAAAAATATACTTTACTGAGAAATACAGCTTTCTAAAAGTGATGAACTTTGCTTAAAGCTTAGCTAAATTTGAACACCGTAAAATGCTTCTCTGACCAATGTTAAATTAATGGTGCTATATTATTGTTGTTTTATTTGCACTTTAAAACACACTCATCAAAATATAAAAACTACAATAGTAAAATTATGCTCACACACCAAATGATGCAATAATTATTCACATTTTGAAAACATTCATAACAATCTCTGTTATAAAAAGGCTATATACCGTTTTTGACATATGTCCACAGGATGAATAGAAACAGAGTTTTATTTATTTATTGGTATTCCTTTTGTCCTATTGTTTTCTGTTTAACATGTATAATGATGCATCTATGCAAAACTGCATAACCTGGATCATTTTTCCAGTACATCAACATGCAGGACAAATACTTATATCTTTGTATCTCTATCAGATATTGTTATTTACTTTATCTTAAGTTCTTCTCTCTTTATTCTCCTTTGTTTATATAAGTTGCCACACCATGCTGCCCTACCCTCTAACCCCTGCACACTTGTTTTACCTTGAATCTCGGTCTTACTTATTGTTTCTTCACCGATTTTACTATTTCACAAGGTCTGATTGCTGTTTACTGTTTACAAATAACTATTCAGCCAATCACACGGCAGCAACTCAATGCATTTAGGCATGTAGACGTGGTCAAGACAACTTGCTGAAGTTCAAATCGAGCATCAGAATTGGGAACAAAAGGAGATTTAAGTGACTTTGAACGTGGCATGGTTGTTGGTGCCGGACGGGCTGCTGTCTGTATTTCAGACACTGCTGATCTTCTGGGATTTTCACGAACCATCTCTAGGGTTTACAGAGAATGGTCTGAAAAAGAGAAAATATCGAGTGAGCGGCAGCTGTGTGGACGAAAATGTCTTGTTGGTGTCAGAGGAGAATGGGCAGACTGGTTCGAGATGACAGAAAGGCAACAGTAACTCAAATTACCCCCCGTTACAATCAAGTTATGCAGAATACCAACTCTGAACTCTGAACGCACAACACGTCCAAGCAGCAGAACACCTCACCGGGGGGCCACTCCTGTCAGCTAAGAACAGGAAAACTGAGGCTTCACCAAAGTTGGACAATAGAAGATTGGAAAAACGTTGCCTGGTCTGATGAGTCTCTATTTCAGCTGCGACATTCAGATGGTTGGTCAGAATTTGGTGTAAACAACACGAAAAGCATGGATCCATCCTGTCCTTGTATCAACGGTTCAGGCTGCTGGTGGTGGTGTAATGGTGTGGGGATATTTTCTTGACACACTTTGGGCCCCTTGGAACCAACTGAGCATCATAGAAACGCGACAGCCTGCCTGAGTGTTGTTGCTGACCATGTCTTCTGATGGCTACTTCCAGCAGGATAATGCACCATGTCACAAAGCTCAGATCATCTCAAACTGGTTTCTGGACCATGATAATGAGTTCACTGCACTCCAGCGGCCTCCACAGTCAACAGATCTCTATCCAACAGAGCACCTTTGGGATGTGGTGGAACGGGAGGTTCGCATCATGGATGTGCAGCCGACAAATCTGCAGCAACTGCGTGATGCTCTCATGTCAATATGGACCAAAGTCTGTGAGGCAAGTTTCCATCACCTTGTTGAAAGTATGCTACGAAGAATTAAGGCAGTTCTGAAGGCAAAAGGGGGTCCAAACCGGTAGTAGCAAGGTGTACCTAATAAAGTGGCCAGTGAGTTCTATAACTATAATAAAATCATGATAGGATACATGGTTTTCATGTATGTTATTGTGCAAAATAACATGTTTTAGAACTCATTCAACTAAGAGCGAAGGGTTAAATATTGTTAATAGGACTATGTGCATGTTTATTTTTGTTGTTCAGCTGGAGACATTTTTAAACATGAGGCACACGACGTCTCCATCCACCCACTCCATCTGCTGGGAGGAGACTGAAAAATCCTCCTTGTTGTTGGTTAAAAAGTTTGTGAATTAGTTATTTATGATGTTTTTAAATAGTCCGTTTTAGAGACATTAGCGTAAAACCTTAAACAAGCTGATTCTCGCTGAAAATGTTGTGGTTGTTGATTCATGCAGCTGCGAGTGAAGGAGCTGCTGGTCAGTCAGGAAAGAAACAAACTGAATACTGAGAGAGACGTGATTCATTACAAGCTTTTGTTTCAATTGTAAGACTGTTTCCTTCTCTGGACACACACACACACACACACACACACACACACACTCTTTCAGTCTCTTCCCGAATGTGTTGACTGAAGTGGTTGTTCCTGTCAGTTTCTCTTTAATTCGGCTTTAATTAGTCCTCCTGCTCGGAATCCAGATTAATTTAATACATAATACAGAAGTTTGTGTTTCCTGAAATGTACCATCACCATTAAAATGACTCCTGACCTTAAAGGGACAGGTCAACATTTTGGGAAGTAGCGACTTGATTTTTTTCAAAGGGTAAATTCTGTTTTTTGGATGATGAGGTACATATAGTCTCCGTAGTCAGTATTACAGGTAACGATTCATTGAGAAATTCGAGTAACTCGACTACAAACTCTTACTTCATCTAATCCAACTAACCTTATTTACAAGCAGCCAGTGTTGGGCAAGTTATTCAGAATTTGTAATATATTACTAGTTGCTTCTTACTCCTTAACACAGTAATAATATTACTTCACTTATTGATAAAAGTAACTAGTTACATTACTATATTACTTTCATGAGGGGAATGAGTTTCCCACAGAATGACATTGTAACGGTGGAGGTGGGGGAGCGGTGGCAACCCAGCTATATTCTAACTTTGGACATGTTTGTGCAGCGAGAGAGAGAGAGATTATTTTTAATCAATTAAAATTTTTTTTTATTTCTCTATTAATATATACACACACGTTACAGTTTCATTAATTTTTTTTATTTTTAATATATATATTTTAACACACACACACACACACACACACACACACACACACACACACACGCTTACTGTTTACTTTATTTTTTAAATATATATTTATTTTTTTAACACACACACACACACACACGCTTACGGTTTTATTTATTTATTTTAATTTTAATATTTCTTCATTTTTTTTAACACAAACGCTTTAATTACTTTACGCTTTAATTACTTTACGCTTTAATTACTTGTTTAATGAAATGTATGGGGTTGATTGTTCTTTTGTAGTTTGTATGATGCTTTGGCAATGTTGTTGTTACACATTCATGCCAATAAAGCCAATTTGATGAATATATGCTCCTCAATACAGCTCCTTAATCAAATACGATTTTTAATACGCCTAGTTTAAAAAGAAAAATCAATATGTGGCGGTCAGCGTTGAAAACTGCTTTCACTACCAACCCCTTCACCCCCAAACAATACGGTCCCAAATTTTTAACTATCACATTCATAACGGCAGCAAGGAGTGCGTTTATTACAAAACAAATGTTTCTTAATGCCACCGGCTGAAATAAAAAAATAAAGCGAGTAAATCTCGACTTTTGAACTACTGTTTGTGCAGAAACATGTAGCCTATTTATAAGAGCAGTATTCAGTATTTTTACAAAACGTTACGATAACGCCACTCTCTCCCAACGAGTCCAAGCATCAGTGACAGCAGCTGCTGGCGTTTCTTTCTGTAGGTTTCACGCTGCTGTGCTGCTTCAGCAGATGCTTCAATAGGCCTAAATTAAACGCAGAGTTTACAACGGACAACAATGTTCTTTGCATCTTAGACTATGACAGCTACTTACAAATGTGGATAGAACGCCTCTCTCCCTCGTTCTCCGTTCTTCCTTTAGTTTTTGGCTATCAGCGGACATGAACAACAGAAGGTCTGGTGCAGCTGACCTGCTGCGCATTCACGCCAAGGATGGCGCGTTCAGTAACACAGCGTCACTTGGATTGGTAACTGTAATAATATTACTGTTTTAGAAAAGTAATGTAACACTTCTAGTTACTGGGGAAAGTAATAATATTACAGTAATGTGTTACTGCCCAACACGGTATGCAGCGCACTGATAAATACTGTCGCACAACACGATGATGATTTGATGGCGCAGACTGCTAAATGGGGGGAAGAGAGAAAAACAAAATACTGAGGGACGAAGAGACAGGCCAGAGAAAAACAACAAAGTGGGATGGGATCATGTCAAGCTCAAATAAAACAGCTCTGTACAGTGTGTGTCTACTGTAAAACAGAACCAGCCGACCACAACAGCGCAACGGCTTCAGCATCAAGTCCACGGAGCAGACCCAAAACAAGGCAACGGTAAAGTTAGCATTTAATGTAAACTGAAGTGAATTGAAGTGAAACTGCAAGTAGAGATGAAGGC